AAGGACAGAGAGATCCAATGACCACACACACAGCCCATCTTAGGGTCCCGACAAAAGACTGAAGATGAAATCGAGGGCTAGCAGTCCTGGCCCAAGAGGGGCTCCACCCCCACTGACCTTCAGTATCTGTACTTCCATCTCATCTTGTGAGGTACTTGAACCGTATGGTGACAAGGTCCTCCTCTAGCTGGCACCTTTTTTTCTCCCAGTATAAGATTCCCAGGGAAGTTCCCATTTCGTGGTAGTGTGATATTCAGATTGGGAGACACAGGTGTCTCTTTCATTTCTGCACCTTCATTTCTGCCAAGCCAGTTACAGGATCTCAGCTCTCCAGGCCAGGGACCCAGAGGTCCGCCTGAAGTTGCAGAGACCATTCACGTGCCAACTACTTAATGCCTGCCTGCGGGCAGGACCACTTCTCTCCCTCATGTTCCCATCTCTGTTCTCAGAGCCCAGTGAAGCTGAAAACAAGTCTGAGATTCACTTGATACAGAAAAATAAAGTAGATCTCCTGTCCGCTTGTTGGCCTTCCCCTGCTTCCCCGAAGGACCCCAGGCTTACCTCAGACCATAGTCCCCAGTCCCTGCTGTTCAGAGACAAAGCTGAGCAGGACTCCTAGGTCACACCTCAGTGTTGAACTTGTACACAACGGACCTAACCCTCAGAGAGTAGCTCCTCCCCATTCCCAAGCCAAGCCCCAGGCATGATTTGGCCCCTGCCTATCAAGTTACCTGTCAATCAGCTCTCAAGACAAAGGTGCTGGCAGCTTAGGGCTGGAAAGTCTGCGTGCAGGTGACAGATTTGCTGTCCCTAGGCTCCCCATAAGAGACCATGCTGTCCTTCATAAAACGGAGTGGTCAGAGGGTTCCACTCCTACAAGGTTGGCAGGAATGTTCCGGTGGTTCCCTATGATTTGCTGGTGGCTAAAACACTCTTTTAGAGCCGGGCCTGGTTGCACAAGCCTGTAATCCCAGCCCTCAGGGAGCCAGAGGCAGGTGGATCTCTGTGAGTTCTAGGACAGCCTGATCTACAAAGCTAGTCCAGGACAGCCAAGGCTACACAGAGAAACCCTATCTCAAAAAACAAACAAACAACAACAAAAGAAGCTCTTTTAATTTTAGAGCTAGTTATGGGGAGGAAACTGCAGGATTTTTATATTTTCCAGTTAGATGGTAAAACTTTATGGTGAGTGTAACTTGACTGGAAGTGTCATTTTAATGACTTTTCTGGCTTTGCCCAATAGGAACATGACATGGTCCCATAAGCATAACCTGTGGTAACAAGCTTGAGCTTCTTTTTTGTTTGTTTGTTTGTTTGTTTTCAAGACAGGGTTTCTCTGTGTAGCCTTGGCTGTCCTTTGTAGACCAGGATGGCCTCGATCCCTGCCTCTGCCTCCCTGAGTGCTGGGATTACAGGCAATCACTCCCGTGCCCAGCCTTAAGTTTCTTTTTCAATGCTGGTTCTCATGAGATCCCTGTGTTTTAACTATACCATTCTGTTCCATAGCATTTGCTTTCAAGAGAGTTAGGAGCAGAGGCGCTGGCTCCTAAGAGTCTTGGGAGACTAAGCTCTTTTCCCACAAAGCCTGAGCCTGGTGGCTCACACCTAGCCTATACTTCCAGCACTCAGGAGGCAGAAGGATCATGAGCCTGGACTACATAGGAGACCTGTCTTACCTCCTTACATAGGAAACAGGGGCAGTGGTGAGGCCAGGAAAGGAACGTTTAAGTAAGCAAGGTGACCACACCAGGAACAGTAGGGTCCCAAGTGTCTAGTCTCAGCTTCGGAGAGCAGTCCTGGTGCACAGGAAAGATACAAAGGCGAGGCTCCTGGGTAGGATTCCAGATCCTCTGGTTGATCATTATCTTGGGCAATTTCCTCAGCGCTGGCCATGCAGAGTTATGCTGGCACTAAGAAGGTTGCTTTAGTGGTAGTTCTCCTTTTTGCTTTAAAACTCGTCAGTCAAGACTTTTGTTCCTGGGGTCCACAGTCACTTTAAATAAAAAACCGTCAGGAGAACTCACAAGATGGAGAAGTAAACAAAGCAGAAGGTTGATGAGATGGCTCATCAGGCAAAGGCACTGGCTGCCAAGCCTGCCAACCTGAGCTCAAACCTGGGAACCCACATGGCAAAAGGAAAGAACTGACTCTCACAGGTTGTCCTCTGACCGCCACACATGTATTATGGCACATGCTGCCAACACACACACACAAACAAATGTAAAAAGGAAAACTCAGAGCTGAAGAGATACACTTAAGAGCACTAGCTGGCCAGGCGGTGGTGGCGCACGCCTTTACTCCCAGCACTTGGGGGGCAGAGATTGCGGATCTGAGTTCGAGGCCAGCCTGGTCTACAAAGCGAGCCCAGGACAGCCAAGGCTACACAGAGAAACCCTGTCTTGAAAAACAAAAACAAACAAACAAACAAAAGCACCAGCCATTCTTCCAGAAGACCAGGATTCAGAATTCAAAATGCTGTTAGCTGGATCAATGCCAGGACCTCCTTCAGCCCCTCTGTCATTACTTCATCTCTGTGGAGTGGAGTCTGTTCGTTTTCTCTCTCCTTAAAGGACCAGAACCCTGTCTCCACCTCAGTCTCTTTACCCTGTGAAGGCTTCAGACCCCCTGATTGTCTCCCACGTTCTTTCTCAGCCATAGTTACATGCTGGAGCAGGGCCCTGCTGCCCATGGAACCTGTGACAAGATGCGGAACAATCCACAGACACACAAACATGCACTGTCACAGTTCCTGAGAAATAGATTGAAAAGACAGAGAGCAGGAAGAATTAATCTGAACAGGGAAACTAGTGAAGCTCACATGAGGAGCAGGGCTGATATTTAAGCTGGTTTGTGTAGAGATTCCCAGGGAGAAAACTCTAGAAGACTGAGACAGTGGGATTAAAGCCAGGGCATAGATGTGCTGTCACTTGAGCCTGAAGCCACCTGGATCTGTGACTGAACCAGGAGGTAAGCCCAAAGAAAGCAGAGAGCAGACCCTTCCAGCAGCAGACAAGTCAGGAGAATGTGGGTCAGGGAGGCTCAGGCTGGGTGAGAGCTGGAATAGAATGTTTGTGAGGACAACGTGTCTCAAGAGCACTCAGTGTCCACCAGGGCCCTGAGCTAAGGAAGAGGCCAGGCTTGCACAGTTTAGCAGAGAGCTGACCTTTGCTCCTTAGATTTTTATGCTAAGCATCTCCCCATTTATTTGATCATTCTTCCCATGATTGTATTTCTGGAACACACTACGCTTGCATATAACTGTTTTTCCCCAGTCCAGGATGATCCCCAAATGCATCTGGCCCCTCCTCTGGCCCATTGCCTTCTTTCTGCTTTAGTGGCAGTACAGCTATTTCACAATTGAGGCATGTGTGCCCTCTGTTGGTCCATTCTGAAACTGCATCAAATCCTGTTCTGCACTGCCAACTCTTAGAATCTGCCCCCCAGCTCCTGGGGCCTTATTCTGGGATGGGGTTGGGACAGCTGAGCTTTTGCCAGTGAGGCCCGTGTGCTGAACCCAGGAGAACATTAGGAGAGGTGCCACAGAGCAGGAAGTCAGGAGAAGGATGTTAGCTTGTGGCCCTACAGCATCTAGTTCTCCACAGATGGTTCCAGGCAGAGTTGGGAGTAGTTAACTCTGTTAACTCTGTTGTGGCTGCTGCAGAGAAGGGAGGCCGGGCAGCCAGTGAGCTGGCGCCTGTAGAACTCCACACAAGCTGACTGTGGGGCAGCCTGCAGCATCTAGGAGGACAGAAGTCAAGGACGGTACCAAGGTGTTTCTGAAACTGCAAGAGGAGGCTGAGGGTCAGCGTTCACACAAAACCTCTGCCACCTCAAGACAGAGGTGGCAGACCCTCTAAAAAGGAGGGTCTTGGGGCTGGAGAGATGGCTCAGCTAACACACACCCAGTCACTGTGAGCCACTACATAATATGTTCATAGCGGCATACCTCTCCTAGACTCAAGGAGTCTCTGTGGCTGATGACAGCCCGCAGGTATGGACTCATGACACTTCCTGTCCTCTGGGATTCCGAGGCTCAGGCAGCTCTGGTGTTTCTGGGGCCGGGCAGATAAGCAAGCTTGTCCAGTGGTTCCAAACCGCAAGGTAATGGGAAGTTCCCCTCAGAGCGCCAGCATATTCTGGGGCTTATACAAGAGTGCTCAAAAGGGGGGTGGGAGCTTCTTCGTTTGGTCTGAGCTTTGAGCTTTTATACCTTTTATTTTTAAGCATGTCATTATTCTATGATATCACTCCTCATCTGTCTAAACCGGCTGGTCTCTGGCCTTCTCTGCTTATCTCCAACAACATGTGCCTATCAGCACACATTGTTCACACTCTCACTATAGATTAAGAGCACTGGCTGCTCTTCCAGAAGTCCGGAGTTCAATTCCCCGCAGCCGCATGTTGCCTCACAACCATCTATAATGAGATCTGGTGCCCTCTTCTGGCATGCAGGTGTACATGCAGGCAGAACATTGCATACATAATGAATGAATGAATGAATGAATGAATGAATGAATGAATGAATGAATGAATGAATCTTGAAAAACTGGGGACACAGGTGAATAATAGTCTTCAGTTCCACAATAAAGAAAGGAAGAAAGAAAGAAAGAAAGAAAGAAAGAAAGAAAGAAAGAAAGAAAGAAAGAAGGGGATGGATGGGGATGTAGCAATCATTGGAAGTCAAGTGAAGAAGATAGTTTAAGAGATACAATCAAACCCTCCAGCCACAGTGGAGGTGCACACTGAGATCCCACTAGAGGGTACAGCGGGGTTATTGAGAGTTTAACACCAGTGGCTCTCTGTCTTGGGAAGTGAGGGAGAAGAAAAGGAGAAAGGTGGGGAAGAGAGGAAAGAGCAAAAGGGTAGTGAGGGAAAGAGAGAATGAATAATCCATCCCGTCCAGCGATTTGTGCAGGTTGGGTGAGGATTAGAACGCAGCCATGGTTTCTTCAGCATTCTTGCAACTTAAAGCAAAATACCTTGTCGTCCCCTCCCCCTAGGTCGTGGCAGATACTAACATAAGTGCCATAGCGACTCAGCTTGAAATCATGTCTACCGGCTCCCAGCGTGGCTCTCCAACTGCTGAACGGCATCCAGAAGACAAGGAGTAAGTATTCTAATACAGAGCAGGTCTAGTGTGTGTGTGTGTGTGTGTGTGTGTGTGTGTGTGTGTGTGTGTGTG